ACTGTAGTCCTCAGCTACTTGGAGCTGAGCCACGGAAGATTGCTTGAGTAAGGAGTTGAGAAGTTTACCATAATTAATAATCGCCCATGCACTCCAGCCGAACAACAGAGCCAGACCTGTCTCAAAAAAGAAGATAAAATATATAACGATAAAAATAAAAAACAATAATTTACCGAAAGAAAAATAAAAAATTTTGGATCTAAAATGACCCCTAGGGGTTATGTAATGCAAACATCAATCCAGGGACTGTAATGAGAGTTCCCCTGCCTTCAAGTCAACTAATTCAGCAGACTTTTGACACAAAATGCCTTGTGAGAGGGGGCTTCATTGCTTTAAAAAACTACATAGGACGCTGGGCGCGTGCTCACGCCTGTAATCCTAGCACTCGGAGCAAGGCGCGGATTGGCTCGAGCTCAGAGTTCGAAACCACCCTGGAGCAAGCGAGACCCCGTCTCTAACTATAAAAGAAGAAATTAATGTGGCCAACTAATACATATAGAAAAAATTAGCCGGCCATGGTGGCGCATCTGGTAACCCAGCTACTTGGAGGTCTAGAAGGCAGAGTGCTTGACCCAAGTTTGAGAGTCTGTGAGCTAGGCTGATGCCATGGCACTCACTCCTAAGCCCTGGGAAACAAAGCAGACTCTGTTCAAAAAAAAAAAAAAAAAAAAAAGACTACATATGACTAGTGTAGTCAAAAACCTCATTTTTACAGTGAAAAAAATGAAGCCTATGGGATTGTGACTCATCTCAGTTTTTGACAAGCCAGTTTGAGTGCTTTCTGGGGAAACTGTCCTGAGGAAGGTGACAGTGAGACTTCACACATGGCTGCTGAAACATTGGGGATTGGATCTCCTCCCATGGAAACAGGAGGGGGGATTTGCTTGATTTCATGCAAGCAAAAATCATTCTAATTCATTAAAGTCACACTTTTACCTAGTTTCTTTGTAGGTGAGTCTCTGGTAGAAATTAGTTAATTGATCTTTTTTTTTTAATTGCAGAATACAGATGCTGTTCATCTTGCTCTGAAATTAAATAATTCCGAACTAATGGGAAGAAAACTCAGAGTCATGCGTTCTGTTAATAAAGAAAAATTAAAACAACAGAGTTCAAATCCAGGTTTGAAGAATGTCAGTAAACCTAAGCATGGACTTCATTTTGCTTCCAAAAATGCAGAAGGACGTTCTAAGAGTTTATTTATTGGCGAAAAAGCTGTTCTCATTAAAAAGAAGAAGAAAGGACAGAAGAAAAGTGGTCGA